AAGTGAGATTTTGCTCATTTCAAGCTCATTTCGTAACTAATTTATGTTCATTTGATACCAATATTGTGTTCATGCATTTCAAAATATCATAGCAATACACATTTCATAAGTATAGTGACGGACCCAGGAAACTTATCTTGGGGAGGACTAAGTGACGTTTGACGTATCTAGAAAATTTTCTTAGTGGTCAACTTACACTAGAATTTAGTCACATATTTCACAAATAGCAAATACATTATTAATATTGTTTTATTAGACTTAGAGCCCATTTCGCGATACTTGAATCGGCTGAATCGGACGATTTTGCTGAAAGTTATGAAGCCCTAGCTGGAGTGGCTCGATTGGCTGATTCTGCAGATTTATGAAAACAATATTTAAAATATATTTTATTAATGAAATAAACAAAACATTATACAAAGTATGAAAAATAGCTAAAATGGTCATCTACAGTAATTTCATCCAATACAGCCAGAAAAGTAACCTTAGCTAAAATCAGCCTTCAGCCAATAAGGTTGAAGTTTTTTTTCTAGCTCTTTTGGTTGAAGTTATTATAGAAGATCATTTTAGCTATTTTCACATAACCTTTTTTATTTAATTACACTAGTGTACTAGTATATTGGAGCATGGGCATTTAAAATTGTTAAGTGTTTCGGATGGTTGGTTCATCACTTGGACCATGTTAATTTCCATAATACATTATTGTGTTAATTTTGCATTGGGCTCGGGTTAGAAAAACGTTTTCAAGCTCAGGTTTGAATTGAAATATCAAACCAATCCATCCTTTTTTGGAATAAACCTAGTATGTGATCAAGATAATCCCAATATATTTGTGTTAGAGTATATGGCCTTAGACCCCATGGTCCACATACTCAAAAGGTCAAAACACACCAGAAAGACGTCCACGTGGCAACCTTCGGCCAGATGGGTCCCGCATCGGCCAGAGGAGGAACTGTCCAGAAGAATGCCTGAAGACATAGTGGACCCCACGTCGGCCATGGACTGCATCGACCAGAGGACCGCATCGGCCAGGTAGTACGCGTCGGCCAGGGTTTTCCCCTGACAGAATGTATTGTCCTATCTTTTTTACTAAGTGTTGTACTCAGCCCATTAGTGGTCTTATTTCGCCCAAAGAAGGCATAATTATTGTAATGGGCCTCCTAAGCCCAAGGCTAGGAGCCCAAATCCACATTTACTCCTATAAATACTCTCCTTGGGGTAGTTATAGGGGGTTGAGAAATATTAATTGCTCACTTTCTCTCTCTAGCTCTCGCCTCTCACTAGAATTAAATACTCTATCAATTGGGAGATTAGTAGTGATGCCATTAGACCATAAGGTACTTGATAATAAATTCATTCTTTTAAATATTACTCCCTCCGGTTTTTAATAAACTTCACACTTTCCTTTTTGGGACGGTCTAAAATAAACTTCACACTTCCTTATTTCCTTTTTTGGCAAAGAAATCTACATCAAAACAGTGCCAAACAGTGCCAAACAGTGTCTCAACAGTGCCAAACAGTGTCTCTACAGTGCCAAACAGTGTTAAACAGTGCCTCAACAGTGTACTCTACAGTAAAGTCAAATTTCTTTCCTTATTTTGTGTGAAGTCAAACTGTGAAGATTAAAAAAAACCGGAGGTAGTAAGAATTAAGAATTTAAAACAAAAAGAGAGAGAGAATATAACATGTGAGGTTGCTAGGATTGTAAACGAACCGAATCGAATAGTGAGATTTTGTATTTGTATTTTTTTATTTTTTTCGAATCTGAATCCGAATATGAAACGAATATTAATTTCGATTTGAATTTGTTTAACAATATGAATAGTTAACGAATCATATACGAATATCGAATCGATTTGAGCATAAGTTAAATATTAGTCAAATGTCACTTTAAAATAACTTTTCCTATATTTTTATGTTATAAATGCATGTTATGACTTAATATGTGTTTTTACAATTTGATTTGTAACATTACATTTTATTAAAATTAATGGATCAATGCATTTTTAGATTGTGTACAATATAATAAGGTGAATCAATTTTATGATTTTTAAATATAGATCTATTTCAAACATTTTGAAATAAACACTAACACACTTACACACACATATTAGAAATTATATTTATAATGTGTAAAATAAGTTGATAATTGTATATACCAAAGTCAAACGACTCTAATTTTATGTTAGATATTTAGCATTGTTGCTAATAAAAAATCATTAGATATACGGAGTATAATTTAAACTACACACACATAGTGGATAGTTGATGCACACACATACATATTAGGTAGTTGATTTTGTATATGTATAAACGAATATATTTGATTATCCTTTGAATTGAATACATAATTATTTGTATTCGTATTTGAAAGATGTTTGAACCAAAAAGTTGATTTGTGTGTTTATTTATATTATATATTTTTCAAATTTAAATCATAATTTTTGAATCCAAATCATGAATCGAATTAAAATTATTTGCTTCATCTACAACCCGTACTCCATATGATACTTCTGATTTATTACAAATAGGCTTGAAATTGTATACGTAAATGTATATGTGGACTACACTTTACGGTATAGTTATCTTTTAATAATTATTATAATGTTATCACTATTATTATTAAAATTATTATTAAATTTATCACTATCAAATATATTTGATTAACATTCGAATCGAATACATAGATATTCTTATTTGTATTTGATAACAATTCGAATCAAATTTAGTATTCTTATTTGTGTTAGAATTTATCTAATTCGAATTCGAATAGCCTTATATGAATTCAAATCGCGAATCGAGCATAAATTATTTGATTCGTATACAACCACCGGATGTAGGATATAGGGACTCGTGACAAAACAACCTTTTTTTAGAAAGACACTCATTTATTCATAATATTAAAAGTAACAGTAGACAAAGCATAGCAACATCTCAGAGTAACCCTGGAGCGAGACATAGAACTAGCCAGCCCCGGGAGACCGTGTCAAATCGCTAACTCCACAATATGGTAGGCCAAACTATCACCATCGCTGGACTTGCTACTAAGACATAAATATAAAAGGGGGGAATTTGACTTTGCACCCCACTTTTAGGGTGATATTGCATCCCTTTTTAAAAAAACTCTGACTTGGCACCCAAGCACATACTATTTTGTGAAGAAAAATTTCTAAATGAGGTGCAAAGTCAAAGGAATTTTAAGTGAAATGGGGTGCAAAATCAAAGTTTTTTCAAAATAGGGTGCAAAGTCCACCCAAAAAGTGGGGTGCAAAGTCAAATTCCCCCATATAAAAAACAAGCATTCAAATTCTAAAAAGGAATATAATCAATAAACTTTCTGGTTTCACAAGTCACCAGCAAGGGAGAAAAAGTTTTATCCACCACCTCCAAAGACAACATTCAGACTTTATCATCCATCGGAAAGGTAGAAGAGGTTTGTCCAGACGGTGGTGATTCTATAGCACCGCCATTGGCTCGTTTTTTTACCCAAGTCCATCAACCTCTACCGGTCTCAATGGAGACCTTATTTATTTATTTATTTATTTATTTTTGAATAAAATGGAGGCCTTATTGTAAGTTTGTAACTTGTAAGTCTCAATAGACATATCCGTAGGGTAGGCCAAACACAAACAATCACCAGGATCTCAAAAAAACAGAACAAAATAAGACAAGTAGCAGTGACCTCTTCACAAACAGTAAATTAATGAACCGAAAATCCTAGCAAACTGCTGTCAATCCTTTGTCAAAACTGCAGAAAAAAACAGCACCCACCCTTCGGCAACATAAACGAGTAATCAAAACACAAATCCGTTCACAGGGAAGGTAGAAGAACCTCGGCAAAACAGTAGTGCCGGACCAGAGACGAGTACATAAATGAGTAAGAGCAGGAACGAACCAGAACGAAAGGAAAACCAATTCCCGGAGAGAGTAAACCCAGCGACAACGATTGCCGCCCCTCTTTCGCCGCAATGGATCTGAAAACGGCGCCCCCTGGTTTTGGAGCAAAGATCTTAAAAGGGATTGTTTGGAGGTGTAAGGTAGGAAATTAAATTGACGGTTTTTTGTGCATAAAACAGCCTTATTACTGCCTTAATACGTATACAGAAACTATCATACGGACTAATACATATGGATAGGCATTACTCAATATACGAAACATTATACGGAGTATTATCCATCACACGCCTATTAAACTGCCATAAGGAGTATTATTATTTGCCTTATACACTGGTACGAATAACGACCGGATTCATGCATTACGAAGACGGGAGTATATATTCCGTATATATCGGGGCAAACGCCGTCGTCAACAAGGTAAGGCGTCGAACGAGCATGTACTCGGCGTTTTACTTCCACTAGATTATCACCCGCGCGATGCGCGGATGAATATTTACCAATTTGTGATTAAGAAGTCTATTAGTAAAACGCAAAAAGAATTGAACACAAAATAAAGCAATACGTAATACATTAAGTGTTTGTAGTTAAAGAGAGATTGAGACAGAGATGAAGACGGCCAACGTAATTTTTTTTTGCAAAGACAAATGTATCCAATAAAAAAGAGATATAGCATTTCAAAGTACGAAGTGGTAAGTATGTAAATTGTAGAAGTTGCAACGTAAAGTGATACTACAAATTCTGAAAAACTTCTTTGTAAACAACATTAGTAGTATAGTCGATCTGTTTGTCATCCTCATCACAGATCAATATTTTCAAGCCTTTGCGATTGGTAACTCTAGACACTGCAACGTAAAGTTGACCATGAGTGAATTCTGGTCACAAAAAATCATCAAAAAAGCAATCAGGAAACACTTGACACGGGGCTTGGCAGTAACGGACTCCTCGTTTGACTGGACTGATGAGATAAGTTCTCTAATAGTAATACCGTAATAATAATTTTGATAATAATAATAATACAAAACATTTTAAATTTTTGATGTTTTTTATCATTAAATTATTGATGTTATAAACTTAATTAATAACTAACTCAATAAAAATTACTTGCATAATTATTAATTTATTATAATAACAACTATCACTATGTACATGTCAATGGATATGCTAAAATCGGATCAACTCCATTTTTATACTGCCCATTTTACATCGGATCCAGCCCAACACCTTAAACTAAAAGAGCTACCCAACAAACTAAACGTAACCCACAATATATAACCACCATCACCTTTCGGCCATACCATTTACACTTCAGCCTCCTTTAAAAACCATCAGTCCATCAGATCATTTATACCTAATTCAGCCTCCTTCATAGACCACCGGTTGCTCAACCTTCAGCCTCTATCTATAGTTTGATTCAGATTCTCACCATTCTTTTCCACAGCGGCTGAGTGCTCTTCTTTCTTCACTCTGGTATATCATATACTATTACTATGTTTGCATTAGTTTTTCTATACATGCGGTTCTATATGATTTTTCTTAAATTTTTTATTTATTTTCCCAAATATTTATATGGTTTATATGGTTCAAAATAGGAGAATCTGTCATGAGATTAACTTACTAAATCTGCATATATTTTTTATAACTCCTATAGACATCTGCTCAGATATATCATTTCGGTGCACATCTGTAAAACGATATCACATGGTTGCCATGCCTGATATACTCTGCTTTCAGGTATTTAAATTTGGGGTCGGTGAATAAATTTTGAGCTACTTTGTTTCCAAAATTATTACCCTCAAAAAGTTGAAGTCCAAAGTTGCTGCTAAAGAATGATGGTTGCAGTTGTTCCTTGTTTCACGCACATATCTTTCAGCGTCTTTCAAAAAACATCTTTTTATTATCATTCTGAAAGTCAGACGTGTTTGGTTTATATTTATAAACTGATAAAGGGACGTTATTTAAGAAACGTTTTTACTACTTTTAAAAACGAATATGCTGGAAGTCATTAACAGATGAAATTTGATGTTGTTCAATTAATTTTTATGATAATAGTATTGTTCAAGGCATTAATGTTATAATGTTTTTCAAATGTCTCTGTCCTGATATTATACACGAAGTATATACTTGTATTATGCTTGAAGGAGTAATTTATTAAACCATTAGCTTCAAATAATCCCTCTCTATTGGATGTTGGTTGTATCTTGTCCCTTGTTTTGTTAGAATATGTGGAAGCTGCAAAAAAAATTCACTTGGTAATTATCAAATCTAAACAATCCAAGCACCAAATTGACAAAGATATGTTATTAGGCTTACACATACTTGTTGTACATTTCTTTAGGAAGGTGGAGTGTCTTCCCCGAGTGCAATACCTGCATAGACATGGCTAATTTTAGTACAATTTCAGGTTTAGGCTACATAGTTAACTTCAAAAGGTATAGTTTAAATGGCCCTAAATTTCTCTTTCTTCAATTTAATTGTTATCTTCGACTACTTTCAAGTTGTGCCTTTTTCATTAAAGCATGAATATGCTCCCTGTAAAGTACATTTGAACGTAAGGAGTCTAAAACAACTAAAAATAAACTGCATAAGTATTCATGGTAGAAAGATGTAATAGAGTGGCCAACAAAACCTTTTTGTCATGAAAAATCATCTATGGGATTTCAACTCCTTTAGATGAGAGACCCACATATCTAAAATTGACAGCTCTTGTGCATTTGTTGTGATCAACATCCTTGATGAAGAACCACATTCATGTTTTTGTTGTGGTGTTTGCCATTGCCCAGGAATTTGGTATGGTATTGAGGGTCTAAAACACCTCATATTTATAGTCGTATAAGAGAGGGTCTGAATAATCTTTTAACCTTTGGATTATAGTATCTATCCATGAGTAGTAACTTATCATAGTTAATTGTTGTATGCTCGTACACCACAATCCTTTTTTTTATAAATTTTATAGTACAATGCATTTAATACTCTCTCAAGATTAACCATATATTATTTAAAATATTCAAATAGGGCGTTGCATCAGTACAATGAAGTATGGGCACACGACTGACTGGTATCTCTCAAAAGGATTTGCAGTACAATCCATTTAATGCACATCTCAGAGCCGCCTGGAGATCCATTATTAAAAATTATTTATATTGTCCAATTGTTCGTAAATCGAATTGTGGAGCGAAGCTTAAAGATTTTTTTGTACTTCGCATTTAATGCTATTTGTGGAGCGCCGAACCTACATGCTACTTTTTGCACTACAGCCTGTCAAAGTAATAAATTCTTTCGTTGCATCCTCATACAGCCTGTTAAAGCAAAACATATTTAAATCATTATTTGACTCAAGAACTGACCCCAGCTCTGTGACCCGTTTTTTTACCCGAATCCACCTGCCTGACCCGGTAGTTTGGGCGGGAACTCAGACTGCTTTTCCACAGCAGTTTGTATATAGAAAGATATTGGGCTGACTTAAAGGTTGGGCCGAAACCTTTATAGCTGGACTGCTGAATTTTAATTATAAGGATAAATGGACCTAAATCAAACTATGGGCCAATCGTTTAGTTATTAAAACTGGACATAGGTTTTTGTTTAGTCTAACCGTGATTATCATTATAATAAGGCTAAAGGGTCAAATAGGCCCTTGAACTAACTTAAAGTGTTCAATTAGCCCCTTATATAGGAGGTTCAGCCCGGTCACTAATAGGGAGTTGTGTGTCATTTCTGATCGACATGCAGGTATTGTCAAGGCAATGAATGAGGTGGGCAGTACTTGGGAGGAGCCTTATGCGCACCATAGGCTATGCCATCTTGCATCGAATGTGCACACTCATTTCAAAGACACTCACCTAAAAAATCTTTTTGTTTGGACCACACTCATTTCAAGAAGATAGGGGAAATGAGATTGGAGGCACGACAATATCCTTTATATTTTTTGTAGGCATGGAGGTGACAGCGGATCCTGGGCCGAATGATCGTTCTGTCCTGACATTGCAGGAGTCGCACAGGAGTGAGGATGTGTGGCTTGGCCTCGATGTTCAAGTGGATAGGTGTTGCGAGCACCTACGTGGTTTGTCGCATGTCCGGGTGGACGATAGAGTGCTTGCATGTGTTCGTGCTGCTGGATTTTATGGTCTGCACAGATTGGTGGCTACTGTCCCTCTCGATAGAGCGCTACTCACTGCTCTTCTTGAGCGTTGGAGGCAGGAGACACACACGTTTCACCTCCCTGTTTGTGAGGTGGCAGTGACCTTGGGAGATGTTGTTGTACTGACTGGGTTACAGGTTGATGGGGGAGCTGTGACTGGTACTGCTTGTCGACAGTGGGTTGATGAGTGTGAGCGTTTGTTGCGTGTTCGCCCCGTTCTTCGGACTGACAGGGTTCATCTCTGAGGATGTTATGGCTGAGGGAGCATTTCACTGAGCTTCATCCGGACGCCGATGAGGTGATGATCCAGCATCGTGCGCGGGCATATATTTTGATGATGATGATGGGAGCTTCCATTTTCGTTGACAAGAGCGGAATTGAGATTCAGGTGCTGCACTTGCCTATGCTAGAGAGGTTTGATGTAGCAGCACAGTTCAGCTGGGGTAGTGCCACGCTGGCTTATCTCTACAGACAGCTGTGTCGCGGCTGCCATAGAGGGAGCACGGAGCTTGGAGGATTTTTGCTACTTCTCCATATTTGGTCATGGGAGTACATCCACATTGGACGTCCCATTATAGTGGCATACCATGACATTGATGGACACCCACTGCCTGATGAGCCTCCACATCTCCTAGGACCACATCATGTACTTGGCGGGGACCCTCTGGGTCGTCGGTATGTTTTAACTCTTTTGTATTTATGTTATTATATGTTGAATATAAATATACTAATAATATTCATATTCATATATGCTACATAAATGGTTAGATAGCTATTTGCTGGTCTATCTTGCACGTCATCGGCTTCTGGGCTTGGTGTGTACATGGATGCATTTGATCGGATGTCTGAGGATCAGGTATGGTGTGCGTAATATAACATTAACTATAATATGTATAGCATAAATACTAATCTTGTATCTTTATGAAACAGATTACATGGTTGCCATTTACGGCTGAGATGTTTGCAGAGTTGGCCTCCACTGGACGAGAGCATTCTCACATATGGCGAGCATGTGTGCCGTTGATATGCTTTAACATCGTTGAGCTGCATTCACCCGATCGTGTATTGCGACAGTTTGGGTTTGAGCAGGTCATCCCGGCACATATCGACACGTATGTAGAGCTTCATAGGCTGGATAGGCGTGGGAAGCATACGGAGGATTGGGCACTGAGATATGTCCGATATGTCACTCTCTGGGACAGGCGAGCTGATCTAGTTGTGACTGGGACACCGACATTTGCCCCATCTGTTTCAGGAGACTACATGGGATGGTATTACAGCATCACTCGTTTGTTTGTGTCTCCTTCGTTCAGACTCCCTACTCACCATTGCCAACCTATCTTCTTGGCTTTGCATCTTACAGTGAGTATATTACTAATTACTAAAGTAAGTCATTTTCTTTATTTAATACTTTTATTTATTTCTAACTAATTGTAATTGTGTTTCATATTTCACACACGAGCTCTGCAGCGTATACATCAGCGGGCTACTGCCACAATGAGTGATACGTAGGACGTGGACATGTACGGTCAAGCTCTGACGGGCATTGCCTCCTTGTGTTCAGATGTGTTGGGGCGAGTCGACTACGGCTATCTTATACACATGCCCTCATCTCAGGATATGCCATCGACATCTAGTGCAGTGGCGGCTTCATCATCCCAGACTCAGCATGAGAGAGTGGTTCTTCAACCACGACAACGGCGTAGGCGTAGGAAGCAACAACAACATCTCCATGACCAAGACGATCTAGATGACCATGACAATTTGTAGTTTGTCCTTTTTATTGGATTTTTCTTGTACACTAGATTGTAGACACAATTGACTTAATTTTACGTATTTCCACCTCTAAACTCTTGTATGATGTGTTATGAATATTGGATGATTGTACTATGTTTTACCGGTTATTGATGCGGTGTTTTGTATGTGATTGAGAGCAGGTGTTAGGTATGTGTTATTGAGCAGGTGTGTTGTATGTAATGTCTTGTATCTGGTTTGTAACCCCTAAATAGGACAAGGACACCTTATTTTTAGCAAACAGATGAGTTTGGGCTGAAGCGGGACTAAAAAGGTGCTGAAATGCACATTTTTAGGAATTATGCACGATCGTGCGTGGCTGGCAGTAGCTGCTAGCCTTCGTTCAGATGCAAGGGTAAGTCGCCAAACCAGATGGCGACTTATAAGTCGCCCAACCGTTGGGCGACTTTCCCTAACCATGGTTAAATCCGGCAGTAAATCGGTAAATAATTTTTTCCCAGCATTATTTTTGTAATTAATTAATTAATTAACATTAATTCGAAAAAAAACTCATAACAAAATCATAAAAAAAAAAAATAATAACCGAAAAAAAATACTAAAAATCGTATAAAAAAATAGAAAATTAATAAAAATATTTTTTAAAAAAATTAAAAAAATTAAAATTAAAAAAAATCATAAAATTAGAAAAAAAACATTACCACCCCCAGCACCACCAACTCCCATCACCAGAGAAAAGTATGCCAACATTTTAAATAATGCCATAATGATGACATATTAAATGAAAATGTTGGCGTATTGAAGAGTAATTATGTCATCTTTTTGGCATTTTCAGAAAAAGATGGCATTTTTTTACCAAGAGTGGAAGAAATTTCACCAATCGGAGGTGGTGGTGCTGGGAGGTGGCGGGAGGCGGTGGGAAATGTATCCATAATTGTTTTCATTTTTATGGGTTTTTACTATTTTTATTATTATTTTAAAAATATAAAAAAATTAAAATTTTTATTTTATAAATGTTTTATAATTTTATTATAATTTTTTTTATGTTTTTTAAATATTTTTTTTTACCTTTTTTTTATAATTTTATTATGAATTAAAGCATTTCATTATGAATTAATACTCTTAGGGGTATTTAGGGTAGAGAATCAATGTTTAGTCCTATTTAGGGAATTTAAAAAGTAGTAGTCCTATTTGTGTTTTTTAGGAACTCATTAGTCATATTTAGGACAAATTCTGTAAAAAAAATAGTAATTTTAGTAGAGATCTGTTCTGATCCACGGTTCTGTTGGAGATAATACTCCATGTGTGCTTTATCTGTGCATATGAATGATGTGTCCATTTTTAACGGTTACAATTCACATCCCCATTAAAGATGCTCTAAGACTGTTCGCAGTATTAAGGGGTGGAAACCCAAAATTGAAGTTTTCACCCTAAATTGAGCTGCAACCCAACTACCCAAGTATAGGAGGGTCTTGTAGTGGTTTGTGGAAACCTTTTGGGGTGGGGATTTGGACGCTGGATCCACTCACGAGGGCTCCATGAAAATTCAAAACCCCAATTTTCTTAAAAATGGTATAACTTTTTTATTAATGATCAAATTTTTATACATAATATATCAAAATTCATAATTTTTTATCAGCATTCATATGACACCAATATCATATATATAAAGCTAAAAGAAATATATGAGGTTTCATTTGATGGAGATCTTTAGATTCAAATTTATTCTTAAGTAGATCCAAATGTTAAAATCAATATCTCGTGGATAATTTTTTTACATCTTATGGTTATTTTTTAAAAATAAAGGTCTGAAATAACAAAAAAATAAACTCTAAATTTATTTATTTTTACATTGAAATGTTTGACTATTTAAATCATAATTATTGATAAATAATTGTTGTTGTCTGTAGTGGTCTGAAATAATTATTTTGTTATTGTTATAGTTGTTGTTGGTGTTATTAATTTTATTATTATTATCAGTGAATCAAAATCACCTGTAAAAGTTAAAAGAATTAGATAGACTTACAACAGAGTTTCAGATGATTCCTGAATAATATCTTTATAATATGTAAGTGACTCGAAAATATAAACATACTTGAATTTGGCTACTATTGTGGAATGTTTGACTATTTAAATCATAAACAGAGTTTCAAATGTATGACTATTTAAATCATAATTATTGATAAAAATAAAATTGTCATATAAAAGATGTGTATTAAGAAGTGTAAGGATTTGTGCATTTAGTTATAAAAATGTGTTGAGTGAATATATTGATGTTGCTGGGTTGCAACAAAAAATTGGATTGATTGAGTGTATACGTCTAAAATAGTGTGGTATTAGATTTATTGACGGGCTGGGTTGCGATTAGCATAAGGGGTGTTTGGATCTGATTCTGCTCCCTGAAGGAGCAGAAGCAGAAGCCGTAGTGTTTGGATGAAAGTGCAGAAGTGAGTCTGGTGTTCTAATTTATTCCTAGAATCAGTTTTTTTAGAAGTTGGGGGAACCGGTTTCTGAAAACTGATTTTGATTCTACTTTTTTTTAAACAGAAGCAGAAGCAGAATCACTTCCAAACAACCATAAGTAATGTATTTAAAAGTAAAAACCAGTACTTAACATGGATCTTCGTATCTAACACTTTCCGACCTTCCATGTACTCCGTATAATGTAGTTTTCCATGTCGCCTATTTTCGTTGGAAAATTTGAATAGAAAGTCAGAGACCTAGGAATCCGGGATTTTTAGTGGAAAATTAGTTCATTGCTTTATGTATCAATTCGAGTTCGAGAAAGTTAAACCATAGTAATTATTTTGTTGCTGAAATTGAGTTCACTTAACATCATTGAACTATTTTTAACAAAGACCTATATTTTGTCAAAGAAAAATTAAAGTGTTACGGAATATCATAATGATGTTTTTGTTTTGGTCTTTATTATCTTCTACCTAAAAAATGAAGTGTTAAGATTTTGGATTAATATTTTAAAATTACAAAATAATAGGGGGAATAGTTAAAAGTATTATAAGGTTGTTTCTTGTTTGCCTCCAAATATATGGGATGACATAACATGTCTCCACAAGATAGTAGTAAGTTATTATGGCAGGTTAATCTTGTAGTCGCCGTAGTACTCAGGGTTTATTGCACCAAACCCCCTCCTGAAATATAAATTTGGCGCATTAGTCTCCTGTGATTTAAAAAATGCATCAACCCCCCCTGTGTTATAACTAATCATGAGCCAAATCCCCTCCAAGAACAAATTTAATTTCCAAAAAAAATGAAAAAAAGTGACTTCAAAATTGTAAAATTTGTTCTTGGGGGGGGGGGGGGGGGGTTTGCGCATGATTAATTATAACACATGGGGGATTGACGCATTTTTCAAATCACAAGGGGCTAATGCGCCGAATTTATATTTCACGAGGGGGTTTGGTGCATTAAACCCGTAGTACTCATTAAGACTTAAAAAGCGTGTTTGGTGACCTTGTGTTTCTCCTTATCAATTTTATCAGTCACTTTTTTCACCAAATACATAATTTTTTTCGTGTGCTGAATTGTGTAATAATCAAAATAAGTAAAGTTTAAATTATTTTCCGACTGATTTGGTTTAAGTTACAGCAGGCGATAATTTTAGCTATTTTACATTTTTTTCTTTATTTTATTAATAAAATATATTTTAAATATAATATTTTCATAAATCGACAAAATCAGCCAATCAACACAATCCAGTCACTTCATGAGTGGTTTGACACGTGTGCACGCCTTATATGTGCTCCATTTTTAGTTTAGTAGCTACTGTAATAATATACTCCCTCCTTCCTCGTGGAAATTTGACGTTTGCTTTTGACACGCTTTTTTAGGACATCAATAAATATGGAATGTAAATTTTTCTTTGTCTTTACGGACACTACATTTCCGGCCATCTTCCGGTCTACGGGCCTTATCTATCATTTCATCTCCCTTTCAAATTCTCAAATTCATCTCTCAAAATCAACCATCCCTTTTTTCTGTTTACATTTTGAATGGGAATAAAGGGAAGGAGATGCACAAATCAATTTCAGAGGTGAAATATTGAGACCCAATGAGTTTCTCATCCATATCCTAATATGGAGATGAAGACGGAACAAAGTTCATCGATCTCCCGCCACCACTTCAACAACAAGGCCCCACCGCTTCTCACTGCTTCCTTGTTTTCGTTTCCATCACATACGCCAGTTTCGCCTTTGCACTCCCTCCGTTTTCCGGTAAAGATAGCGTTCCCAAAACTGGAATTGGTGCGTTGACGGCATCATGGACCCAATTGTCTAGGACCGTCTAATGAATTGAATTCGGAGGCCCGGTTCCAAATGAGAATTAAGGGCCCTGAATAAAAAAATACTACGTACAAAAGTTAACAATGAAATACAAATAGATTAGATAGTTCAATACGTAGTAAAATATAAGTTTTATAACGTTTAAAGTACACAAACTAAACATTTTAAAAGTCATATACATTTTGGAATCTTAATTAATACATAACTCTGATGTCAAGCAGGTGACGGTTCTGCTGATATGCTCCAACCCCTAATTGAAACGCTTCTACACTATGCTACCATGAAACCTCGCCAGTGTCCTCTTGAATATACTCCCGAAGTGTTATAAATTGGGGAAATAAACTATGGGTAAGATAATTTATAAAGGGCATTTAGGACACTTTAGTGTAAAAAGAGTTGCAAAAAAGAAAATATAAAGATTTATTTGGGACATCCCAAAAAGGAAAGTGTAAAGATTTAAATGGGACGAGGAGAGTGTTATGTAATTTTACATTCATTTATAATATGAGGTCTTAATTTAATATGCAGTAATTATATTGGGAAAAATTGACAAGAATAATCTCACATTTCACTGGTCTTCTCATAATAATCCTACCTTTACATAATCCCAAAATAATCTCACCTTTGCACTCCATCTTCTTTCATTGGACCCTGACCAAGTTTTTTACCTTTATTTGAAAATCTTATATAAATAATCTCACATTTATAAAGATATAATAGAAAAGTGAAAGGTGAGATTATTTATATGATTTTTAAAGAAAGAGTAAAAAACTTGCTCATGGTCCAATGAAAGAAGATGGAGTGCAAAGGTGAGATTATTTTGGGATTACCTAAAGGTGGGATTATTATGAGAAGACCAACGAAAGGTGGGATTATTTTTGTCAATTTTCCCAT